GATTTCTAGGGAGACCCTCTAGTGTATTCTGAGTTAAAGTTAAACGAAGATGGGCAATTAGATCATTTATATGAAGACCAAGATGGCGTGGCCTTTTGCTCGGTCGCAGTCTCATTGACATTGTTTTTGCAACTTGCTCTGAGCGACAAAGAGACCTTGTGTTACGTACCTACTCCTGCGTCATCTGTCACAGTATTCATTATTTTTAACATCGGACCGTTGACTTGTTGCATTCCCAGACTTTTCGTAGGCATCGTAGTCTTCATCGTCTATAAGATGCGCCATCTTTATCACAGAGTTACACTCTATTAAAGTGACTCGTTACCTTCCATATTCCATTAAACATGTTTAATAAGTTTTTTATTGTTTTAAAGAGGTGTATAAATGAATATATGACTTTGATAAATTGTAACTCTGTGTTAAGGATAGCGCCTATCACTGACGATTCCTGCGAAACGTCTGCTCATGTACCAAATGAAATGTCCGAAAATGAGTAATACTGAAAAGATGAGAAAAAAGTATATGGGACTTGAGAATTTTACGCAGCTTACGCATACAACTTTCAACACTGGCATCGAGCAGAAAGCCAGGGCCAAATCAGCTCAAATTGCTTCACATGTGACCTCTTTTTTCACAATTTAATGGCGCTTTCAGATAGACTTCCCAGTGCTGCTTCCTACCGCATCCTCCCTCATCGTTTCCATGTCTTCCTCCAGCCTCGGACCGGTGAATGGGTGAGCTTTCATATTCCGGAAGTAGACATGGCAACAATAGACAAGGATGCAGTTCTAAATAAGCTCTTTGGAGCCACTTTGAAACTGGCACAGTTGTAAAAAAGGCACAACCAAAGACCATAGCCTTTCTGTCAGGCAGAAAGTTGAGAAAAAAAAGAAAATTTTGTATGAACCTGAGTAGCTGAGGCCTTTTTGCTGCAAGAAGAAAAAATTTTTCTTGAAATCAGGCACTAGATCTGGATCATTCTTTTCAAAGAAGAGAGCCCTCATGCGTCTAGCTCATCCTCTAAAGTGGCCAAGAAGGGTCAGCCCTTGGTTATCTCTTGAATGTTAAGCTGCTACGCGACCATATTCTCCGTTGTCCTCTACTCTTCTCGAGACAGATGGATGGGGCGGAAAATACGAGAGCAACATTCACTTCCGCTGTTCGTGTTATTTGTAAGGATTCCGTTATTCGAGGAGCCTGGAGTGCATGCATTGGTGATGACTGTTGCTCGAATGAATGTATTGAGGCAACTTTGACTCTGATGGTGAGACGAGATTGACTCATGCTTGCTGGAATTTATCATTCCCAACTGAATAGTTGTCACGACTTGTCCCATGCGTGTCTGAGACTAGCGGAATAGCGTCGAAGTGGGTCAATCTCGTAGAAAATGTGGGTGTTGATTGATAATGCCCATATTCGGCAATCACGTCACTAGGAAAGCCGACTCCTCTCGACCGGCTTTAACAACATGGAAGTCGGCCGGACTAACACGGTTCGATAAGGAAATGCTAAACTGCATCTGAGACTGTCTCCGTGAAAAAAAGTGTGCTACAGCCGGATCAGTGGTTGCCAAGTGAAAAGGGAGACAGGAGCGCAACTGACACTTCCAGATCCAGGCTGAAAGCAGAAGTGTTTAAGGCGTAAGGGTAGGCAATTTCGATAGGAGCAAAAGAGGCTTGGCTCCTTTGGTCCACTTTTCGATCGTGGCAAAAACGAATGATTGGCAAATGGAGAGGTTGCGTTGTGTGAATTGTCCTCTGCATACGATTAAGGTAAACACAAGAAGCAGTCAACAGAAAAAAGGAACGAAAGCCAGACTAAGCAAGGAGGACGGTTCTAGAGGAAGAAGTACTAGTTGGTCGAGTGACCTGCGGTTGGGGATGACATGATCCCTTTGGACAGTAGACATGAAGTCAAAACAACAGCTTTATAGGAGGGACTTTTCAGTCACTTCGGGTCTGCAGTTGTGATAGTTTGCGTGTCCAGAGGTCGGACAGTAAGGAGAAAGAAATAACCATAGAAACGTCTGATACCAGCCAAAACGGTAGGATAGACGAAATATACAGTTTGGGCTAGCCGTAGTTGTAGAAGGCGACTCAGATCGACCCATCGGTCGGTGCAATGCCTACGCTTGTCCGGTTGACAGGACGGCCTGACATTCGGTGTTCCGGACAAATGAAGAGGTTAAAGCGAAACCACAGAGATTGCCTATCGTCCAACCGCGATGGTTGCCATCGGCAACACCAGCTGTCGAACAACCAATGACAGGCAGTTGTACTCCAAGAGGGGATTGGTCTTTTGTCTCAGGCCCAGCACTCTGCCGACCAGAAGACATGGGGACATGTGTCAGATTTAGTCATCCATGCAGGCCGATCGACGATACAATCAGATGTACAAACAGTGTCCCGTCTGCTTCATGCATCCAACACCGAATTCAGACAACTTTCAGAATTTTGTAAACAACAAACAACACTTGCCTCCAATAGCTGGGCGGATATAAAAGCAGTGTAATGGAGTAAACAGCAACACTTAACGGGATGCCACAGGCATTGATGAAGATATGGATAAGGATGATTTGAAGTAAGGGTTTGGTTTCACATGTGAATTTCAATAAGGATT